CTGGGCTAGGACGGCTTGCTCCGCATGATTAAGTTACCACCACGCATCCTTTCGGTCTGGTCTATTCAGCTGCCCATGAAGCTCAAGCCCTTTATTCGGAAGCTGTATCAGACACTAGCGTTGCTTAAAATTCCTTCCAAAGTGATGTCCACAACCTATAGGTCCATCAAGAAGGTGCGACGCCGAGTACGGATGACACTTTTTCTCGTTTCGGCCTCCATTTTGTTATCGTTGTTTTCGGGGGAAGGTGTTTTATTTTGTCTAATGACTAAGGAATTGTCACGCAAACTTCCTGCAGTGTACGGTTAATAATTGGTCACGTGGGCAAATGCCTGTTCGTCAAAGGATTTCACTACTTGCGGCAGGAGCTCCTATTGTCCGATTAGCACGTACTTCCTTTTGACCTTTGCAACTGACTTCCATGTCTCGCGCATGCGTATGTCGCCGTTTAGATAACGATTGTATTGAAGTGAATTTTCGTCTCCGGGCTTGTCAATTTGTATTTTCATATAGGCCGCAGTTGTTTAAAAGCTGACTCAGACTTTCCTATTCAGCATGCAGCATTAGGATATGCATCCTCATCGCTAGTAACGACCCAGATTGATGAACATTTCTGTACTGATTGCGTCTGACCTATATGTCATGCGCAAAGCTTGTGAAGTTTTGTTTTTTTCAGAGCCCGATTTAAAATGCTCCTAAATCAAGGCATTCTTATTTCCCTTTAAGTGTACATCTGAAGTAGGGCTATATCGTCAAACTGAAAATATAAGGGAGTCAACTTGGTTTTAACCTTGGTTATGCCAATAATAGAATATGCATCCTCTGTTTGGGAACCCTCAACCCTAGAAAACATTAAGAAACTGGAACAGACACAAAATAGAGCAGTGAGATTCATAACAAACGAATATTCACATTTGACTACAGTAACACCTTTAGTAAAATCACTAAATTAGAAAGCTTTCAGGATAGAGGACTCAAACATGAACGACAATCTTCAAATGCAAAGACAGAGCCTAATAAAATACTCAGAAAGACACGTTCCTTGTTCCATATGCTAGGATAAATTTTTACAGGGTCTTATTTGTTTTATTAAGTTAATTTATAATTTATTTTCAGGCCCAAGTTCAGCCTGACAGACACACCATACACACCATACACACCAGACACACCAGACACACCAGACACACCAGACACACCATACACACCCAGTTGTACATCAACTAATAAACGAGGTGTATGAAGATTTAAATAAAAACTATAAATTGAATACAATGATATCTATACGATGATACGATAAATGAATAATGATAATGAGATGAATGAAAGTATCAGGGGCGTAACTAGGGATTTGGGGGCCCGGGGGGAGTTTACCTCTTTGGGGGCCCCTTGCATTTTGACATTCGACATATGACATGAGATAATGTACGCAAAAATATAAATGCATAAAATCAAATTGGTTCAGTATATCAGTAAACTTAACAAAAAAATAATCATGAAAACTCTTTTAATGAATAATGCCGTTGTTTCTTAGTTAAATAATGCACAAGCGACAAATCTAAATTGATATCGCTTCACGTCGTGCAATCTGTGCAGCAAAGACATCTATAACATCAAATGCATCGATACTTTCTAGTATTTGTGACTTCACTGACATGCCTTTCTTGCGTCATTGTGCTCTTGAGATAGTTTTTGATGAACTTGAGCTTTGAGAATGATCTCTCACATGACGTAATGGAAGTGGCCTGAGTTAGCGGTATTCGGAGGAGGTTGCAAAGTTTGAGCACACGTAATTCCCATATGAAGCCTTTTTCCTCAATATGTCTATTGGTGATTGTATTACTGGTTTGTTGATGAAAAGTGCTCGTGCATCGATGACATCATTAAAAAAGCGATTTTCCATTTATTTCATCATACAAACAGGAAAAGTAGCACAGTTTGTCATAAGCGTGTCTTCATCTAACAGGTGTCTTGGTTCAGAAGAAACCCAAAGGTATCCATTTTCTTTCCAGCCTTTGGAATATGCCCTTCATCTCCATATGAAATCTGTCCAGCAATTCTGTCGCAACACGTTTGAATTGCAGTTCTATTGACAGTCCTACATTAGAACTGAACTTCCCATCAAGTCTTTTCTTTCTTCTGGTTGTTTTGATTACAGGGAATCCATAGTATTCACTACCTTCTTTTGCTTTTTCGATGGATTGGGTTTTTGTCAGTTTCACATCATTTTGCAGAAAGCATGAAAGGGTACTAATTTCTTTAGCAGATTCCCGTATATGCAGTCCAGACTTTTGTAGTTTCTTCTGAACTATATTAATTGGGCGCAGGAGCTTTGACCAGAATTCAAGATAGGCAAAACATTCTTAATTTTCCACTGCATGAAGAAGATTCTGTGCTAATATTATATGGTATTACGTCATTGTTGGTTGTTTATGTTTTGTGCGAAAGCAAAAGGATTAGAAGGAAATAAAAAGAGTTTCCATTGAATGGAGGAAAGATGAATAGAGGGGTAATAACTCGAGTGTGAAGATTAATTCTGAAATTATAGACGCCAAACCCGATTAATGGACTATTTTAGCATTATTAAGAATAACTTTTAGATCTGGTATACTCGATTCTGTAAATTTTGCTTCAAGGTTAATTACTGTAGTGTATATCATGCAGTTTAATTCGTGGCAACAAAGTTTAAAATGTAAAACTAACTTTAAAAAAAACTTTGATCTCTGTGGGAAAAAAATATTTTTAAAATGTCAACAAAGTCGACGTACTGATAGACCTAGATCTAGGTTTAGTCTTTGTGATAAATTTATTCCATAAATGTTGAAAAAAAAAGACACCTGTTGACACTATTTGTCAATCAAATATATTTATTTATGTATTTACAAATAAATTTCGGACACCCATTTGGGGACCCCCCAGGTGGGGGCCCGGTGGGATTTTCAAATTCTTCCCCCCTCCCCCCTTTAGTTACGCCACTGGGAAGTATATATATATATATATATATAAATATATATATATATATATATATATATATATATATATATATATATATATATATATAGTATGATATAAGAAAACTGTCCTCGTTTAATGTTAGCGAAAAGGCCTTGGCTATGTTTTATTACACTCACATCTGCAATATTTTAAGTTTCAATATCACTGCCTGGTATGCAATCTGAGCATTAAAAATTAAAATAAACTCTGTAGAATCCTAAATGCTGCTGGTAAAATCATTGGCAAAAAATAAACCCCATTTGGGCAGTTGTTTGAGACAAACATCTATAAAAAAGGTAACAAGATCCTCGAAATAAAGAATCACCCTTTGTGTCAGGATTTTGTGATTTTACCATCACAAAAGAGATACAAGACACCGATGGCAAAGACAAACAGACACAAACACTCTTTTGTTCCCCTAGCAATCAAATCATTAAATAAGAACAATCTAATATAAACTTTGTCACATGTTAATTAGGAGTGCGTTTGGTGTGAATGTACACTTTGGTTTCTTATAGTTATAATGTTTTTTTGTTTGGTGTAATGCACAAAATTGTAAGACAAATTTCCATACGAATAATAAAGATTATTATTATTATTATTATATAATAATTCCAGTACTAAAATAGTATTTATTAGAAAAACAATATTGACCTCATCAATGATCCAATTGAAGACATACATTCTGTATACTCCATGTGAGGTTCATTCACCAGTGGCAAATAAATGTTCACCACGATGAAGATTCAAATCACAACTTCACAACATAACACCAAGTCTGTTTATAGAAAAACCACAATTTGGAATTTGGAACCTCAGACTCGAACTCCAGTCCCGAAACCTGAGACGAAAACCTCATACAGACAAACTGAGATGAAAACCTCAGTCCTGTAACCTAAAACTGAGATCTCACTTCTGAAACCTGAGACTTGACACTGAGACTGAAATCCTATACAAAGATAAAGAACAAATTCTTCTAAACTTCTAGTCTAATTACAAAGTACGAATAAGATCGAATCCAAATAACAAATAACTATAAAATAAGAGATAAAACTCACCCTAAACAGGGGTCAAAATAATCCTTTAAGAATTTATCCAAGGCAAACGCTAAGGCTATCCAGTAACATAAGCACAAGGAGAATTCAATAGCTGAGAAGATGCAGCCTGTTTCAGTCCAGCAATATGGCGTGAATGCACCAGATGAAGACAGTTTACGTCGTCAAAAATTATGACGAAGCAACAAGGGGAGAGCAGCTACTACTCAAGAAAAATTACTGAAAATGACGTCATAGCCTATTGATGAAAACAGCGCTATTAGATAGTGAAATAATTCTACAATACAACTACACAGATAACTGCGATAGCCCCTTCTTCCCTAGTGCTATTAGAGCATGGATTGGGTTGCCTGAGCTAGCCAGGAAAACCAGTGACTTAGGAAAATTTAGGTCATTGATTAATATGCATGAGTAGATGCATGACGCGAAGGACGTAATTATCTTCTTTTTTGAAGTGACGTCTGTATTATTTATATTTTGTTGTTTATAATGCAAAGAAAGCACTAACATATGTATACATATATTTATCATCAGTAAATAAATAAACCTACACCGGTAGATAACATTTACAATTTAAAAATATAATAAAAAATTCAATAAAGAAGATAGTAATTGTATTTGTCATATTGTTTAATGTATGATATAAGTAACATTAGTCACTATCTATAATAAATATAAATATTATAAATATTAATAAAAAGTTACATTAATTATCAGAAAGAAAACTTCAAATTGATGGTAAGGGAAGTAAAAAAATATACATTAAATAATGTTTTATGCACAAGAGTTCTGGTTACTGTAATATGAAAAAAATATTTTGGTGAACTTTTAAACAAAGCACAGCTTTATATTAATTTTAATCTACAGAATTAATATGTAGCCTATAAAGAAAATCATTTTGGGTTAAAAACTGCATTTAATAAATCTTCAAGTTAGATTAAAAAAAATAAAGTACGCTGCGAGCAGGGTTCGAACCTTGGATTTCAAGTCCAACGCCTTAACCACTCGGCCATCACAGCTGTCCTGGTGATACTACATATTTACACAATGGTTGGGTTGTAACTACAGACAACTAGTCCAAACAATCCGTTGTGAGTGTATTATTTTCTAAACGCCGTGGTTACATCAGAATCGATTCAGCCTAGAGCAGGGGTTCTCAACATGTGGTTCGCGATCCCCTTGGGGGTCGATTGACGATTTACCAGGGGTCGCCTAAGACCATCGAAAATATGGATTGTTATTGTCTATTCTTCTATTGCTGTGTGGATGGGGATCGCTGCAGAGTGGGTGATAGTAAAAAAGGGGTCGCCGAGTTTAAAAGGTTGAGAACCGCTGGCCTAGAGGCTACACATGTTGGCTGGCTATCAAATTATCCGCCTAGTTTTACTGCTGCTTACATCAGAAACTTGCTCATACACACTATCCGTTAAAACAAGCAAATTATTTTAAAAAAATCTTTAACAAAAAATGGGGGAAAGAAACGCAAATACATAGCCATATATCTCAATAATGTATGAATAAGCTCCCTTTTTATATCTAAAATAAAATTAATTAATTACCACTAATTGATTAACTAACTGGTTAATTTTTGTATTGGCTCATAGAGCGTCATCAACTTAAAACATACAGAATTTCAACTGGATCCGAGAGTACGAAGGGGAAGAAAAAAGGTGCACAAAATGCAAAAGGGTAATAGCTCCACATGTACAGCTACATATAGCAATAAGTAGCATTTATTTCCCTTTTTCAATAGCAAACAAAAATTTTCTCGGTGGAAAGACATGCTCCGATTCGATTCCCATTCTGTAATTCATCTAATTCTCTTTGAAAAATTCCTCTATCTTGTGTTTTGTTTTTATTGTTCTATATATTATGCAATCGTCTTCAATCTGAGTTTTGTCCCCGAAATAATGCAATTTGGCAGGCCATGTTTGTAAATTAGAATCAATAATAAACTAAAGACTGTTCCTTGAGGTAAACCTGAGTTAACAGTTATTGGTGTTGACTTAGAGCCATTTATTATTACAGTTTGTGTACACTCTCAACTCTTCGTATTTATGTGCGAAACACAAGCAGTAAGTTTTTAGTCTGAAAAAACAAAACAGTGAGCATTGCTTAATGAACGGCATAAGAAAACAACAACTCTTCTACCAGATTGTATCTCTACCCCCAACGTGGCCGTGTCATCAGGGCCGCCGCGAGGGTTGTGGCCGCCTGCGTGCGAAATTTAAAAATGCCGCCCCACCCCTTTTTTTTTTCTAGAAAAAAAGGTGTTACAAGTGAGCTGGACACTGTACCAAAAGCGCCCGCTGATTTAAATCCATTTTTGTAGATCATTCTTTTTTTTCCCTTTCATATTTGCACCTCATGTCCATGTTTATGTTTAATTTCCAAATTTTACTTAGCATTTTTTTTTCTTTTTCGAAGTTAAAAGTCCTTCTCCAGTTGTATCAGTAATTGGGCGAAACCCCAGAAAGTATTTTGCAATATGAAGTATTTAAGAAACAGAAGTAATAATAGTTATTTATTCATAATGAGACATTTCTGGTGTACAGTCTAATGTTTTGTGAAAGTATTTGTGTGCTTATATCTACAATTTCGAGGATTTTATTTTCTACTTCACTCAAATTTTAAAATTGCCTGTATTAATTGATATAAATACTCTTTTTGTGTATGTGTCAAAAAAACTATTTGTGGATCCTATTAAAGCGAGACATTGCCGATAACAATTCGTTCTATAAAGGATTGCTAAGGCTGCTTTTCAAAATCATGCATTCTTTATTGCGCTGCATTTATTGTTTTCTTTTCAAGAGCAATTTTGTTTAAATTTTCCTTCTGCTTTATATTCGTGTCTTTTCAGACTTAATATGTGACCCTAATCATGGACTCCTTTTGTGCCTGTAATGTCGTCTTTAGTTATTTATTCCTAAAACAACCGACATGGACCATTCAATGCAAACTAAATAGACTCGAAACATAAAAGCCATTGACGGTGAAACTTTGTCAACGTTCTGTAAACTTTTATAATAATTATTACGATTGTATTGTGGAGAGATATACATTGTGTCCACAATCATCTTGACGTACGCGGATTCGGAGGTGCCTACAAATTTTTGTCCAACACACCTCGAAGACAAAAAAATGAAGCAACTAAAAACGCTGATTTTTTTTTTTCTTGAATTGATATAAAATAAATAATTCTAAATACAAGTCACTTAAACAATGGCTTGAAATAAAACACGTTAAGGCAGTGTTTCTCAAACATTTCCTCAAACCCTCAACATGACAAAATTTTCGTTCGAGACCCTCTTAGAAGCTGGAGACCTAGAGGTATGAAGTAGTCTACCACAGTAAAGTCCGTGAGTTTTTCTAAGAATGACATAAAAAAAAAGTTTGTCATAATTAAAATACAATATTTAAGTTTTACTTTTCCTTTGTTTAACACTGTGCTTAGAATCCAAAATTACTTAATGAAATTTTACTAAAACGTTTACAACGCCTTCTTCTCGTAATAAGAATAAAGAATACAAAAAAGACCATCATTAATGAGTTTTCTTTTAGAACGGAATATTCATCTTATAATAAAGAGGGAGCCCTGAAAAGTATTATTCGAGAGACATTCTAGCACACGGGCGTCTCTAATGGGCGTGATCTTTTTTAAGATCATCTTAGTTCTACGTAAGATATCTCTGTCGTGGACCTTTTTATCACACAAAAATCGTCCCTATAATGAAGTGCAATAGTCAGATGAAATTCAACCAATCTCAAAAAAGAACATCCAGAAGAATCACACTAGACGTTTTGAAATGTTTTCTTCACAAGTTTTAACCCATATTTTTGCATGCGACTCTCGCGAAAACAGTCTACATTCGACAAGGTCTTATCAGAAGATGAAGCAACGTTTCTTACTTAAAATATTTTCAGACGTGGATTAATAGACCTAACTACAATGAAAGTACAACATTTTTTGCCGCCCCCCCCCCCTTATTGTTGGACGGTCGTTGGCTTGTGGCTCCAAAAAAGCTAGTAGCTTAAACTTAATGTAAATCTACATCAATAATGACCCCAAAATATTCTACGCTTAACTAACAGCCATTTAACATAAAAGTGAAAATGTTTTTAACATTGAATTATTTTTAATTACTAGATCTACTTACCGGGTGGGTTATTCGAATAAACAACGATATAGTAGAAAGTAGATACTAAGAAGTAAGTGTCATTCAAAAAGAATATTACAGACAACCCTTGATAATTCAATGTCAGAAATGATATTGCAGATGGATCACAACACTATTTTTTACTTGAAGCTATAAATATGAGATTGGCCCTTTACAAAATAATTAGATCAATTAGATATTCATTATAAGACATCAGTTAGGCCAGGTTCACACCTAACTTCACCTTCACTTTCACTTTCACCTATCCCTTGGTCTGCTGGACTTTTGGGGCACCACACAGGATCTGTCAACCTTCTTTCTCCATTCTTTTCTGTCATTTGCCTTTGATAGAATTTCATTATGATATTCTTTCTGAAAATATTGAAACCTGCCTTTTTACCTGCCTGGGTGGATCATTTCTGATATAATTTAATTCCGATATTCTTCTGAAAATATGCCTGCCTTTTTCCTGCCTGGGTGGGCCACTTCGGGGGCCGATTTTGAGTTTGTGTTTCCACACAAACTGTCTTTTTAACCTTGTTTATTTACATAAATGATTTAACAAATTGCATTAGTTCAGGAACAAAAGTCAGATTACTAGCAAAAGATTGCAAAGTATTGTTATAACCTTGCCATGCATACCGCCATCCAAGGTAGTGCTGAAGGTGCGCACTATTAGTGACTAGTCTAGGAAGGATGTTGACAGTAGAATAGAGGACCATTTCCGCCCAACTCTAGAGCCGAGATGAAGAGGCTGTGCTCAAGGCAGATGTCCTATGTTTTTGTCATGTCTCCATGTAAAAAAACATCTATATCTCGTTGAGTTGCCTCCCTTCACAAGATACAGAAATGCTTAAAGAATATTAGATGAATGACAGAAATGGGAATCAAATTGGAGCATGTCTTTCCACCCAGAAAAATGTCAATTATTAAGAGTGAAAAAAATAACTATAACAAATTAATTCCACTTATCTTATTCATGGTAAACCAGTAACACAGACTAAAAACGCAGGTGTTATAATAAATGAAAAACGGTCATGGACTCCTTTTATTGATGAAACTATCAAAAAATCAAAGCACTTGGGTTTATTAAAAAAAACATAAAACTAAAATGTTTTTTAACCTTGGTCAGGTAGAATATGCATCCTCTTTTTGGGACCCCTCAACTCAAGAAAACATTAAGAAACTGGAACAGTCACAAAATAGAGCAGTGAGATTTATAACTATCAAATATTCACATTTGACTAGAGTTACACCTTTAGTTTTTACCTTTACCTTTACCTATCCCTTATTCTATAAGACCGTTGGGGCACCATGCAAGACTCGTCGACCGTCTTTCTCCATTCCCGCCTGTCTTTAGCCTTAGTTCGAACCTCTTTAAATGGCAGGCCCTTAGTAAAATCACTAAATTTAGAAAGCCTCAAAAGTAAAGTAGCAATTATACATAAAACACTGAACCATAAATGTTCAAATACAAAAACAAAATTTAATAAAATACTCAGAAAGACACAGAGATAAAAGCAGATTCCTCGTTTCATATGCTAGGACAAATTTGTACAAATGTTCTTTTTTCCCTAGTGCTATTAGAGCATGAAATGAGGTTGCCTGAGCTAGCCAGGAAAACCAGTGTCTTGGAAGAATTTTAGTCATTGGTTAACATGCATGACTAGATGCATGACGCGTAGGACGTAATCAACTTTTTTTTTGAAGAAACGTCTGTATAATATAAGATAAAGATAAGAAGATAACTAACTGGTTATTTTTTTAAAATTAATTTTTGTGTTATCAGATACAAGATACAACTAGGCACAATTTCAGTTTCATCGAGATTGTGGGAGAAAAAAGAGTACACAAATTTTACC